TCTGCTGTCTGACCATCATGTGAGCCGCCTCCCTCTGCCACACTCTCCCACCAGGATGTTCAGCCTCCCCTCAAGCCCCGAGGAATGGAGCTCAGTCTATGGACTGAGATTGCTGAAAATGTGAGCCCCCAAATAAACTTTTCCTCCTCTAAAATTGTTCTGGTCAGGTCTTTAGTCACGGCTGTGAAAGAGCTGCCTTAACAGAAATTGGTACCAAGAAGGTCACCACTGCCGTGCCTAACCTGACCGTGTGGTTCAGAAGGCTTTGGAGCTTCTTGAATTGGTGGGAGGATTTAGGTGTTTAGCAGTGCAAACTGGAAATGCTTTAGATTGTATTAGGGAGAGCTTAAAGGCCGACTCTGGGGGTAGCTTGGAAGACCAGAAAGCCACCAGGCCCAAGGACAGTGAAGACAGGGCTCAGGGCTTAGAGGAGGAGGAGGACTCCCGGTAACTGGACTGGAGGCCACCTGGGGCATGTTCTGGCTGAGAAGTCGTCTGAATTTTGCTTGTGTCCTGAGACTTTCTTTGGGTTAATTTTAAAGGTGATGGACTTCTTAGTCTGGCAGAAGACATTTCTAGGCAGCAGAGCGTCCAGGCAGTGGCTTGGGTATTGCTGGTGGCTTTTCTTCAGGAGCAGAAAGCAGAACAGAAAGATTTGAAAAATTAGGACTTGAAAGGTGGGAGTAAAACTGGGGCTAAGGAAGCTGCACTTGTTAAAGACTTTACCCAAACGAAAGAAGTGCCAGAGATTTTGCCCAGAGACAATAAAGCAGATGGCTCGAAGGCATCTCAGGAATGGGCAAGATCACATCCCTCTCAGACTCAAGGGAGTAAAAGTACAAATTCTCTTGAGAAGAAATGAGTGGGGAATCCATGCACAAGGAGGCCTGGGAAGTCGTGGGTGTGTGGGTGTGTGGGTGTGTGGGTGTGTGTGTGTGGTGCTGGGGACTGCACCCTGGGCCTTGTGCACGCGAGGCGAGCCCTCTACTCACAGAGCCCCTAGGAAGGTCTTCCCACATGCTCAGCTACCAGGCACTCAGGCGGCGGCAGCCGGGGTCCCTGGAGGCTTGGCTACTGCTGAGATGGCGGAGACCTGGGCATCGACCACAGGGTGCAGGTTCTGCAGGAGAGCAGGGTGCTGGAGTGAGGGGTCAGGGAGGCCTGGGATCTCAAAGGAAGGCCTGGGAGGCCAGGCAGAGTGCTGCAGGGTCAGAGCCCTGCAGCCACCCCCTGGGAGGGCAGTGTGTGGAGATGTGAGGAGGAAGCCAAAGCTGCAGGAGCCGAGCAGACAAGCCCACAGAAGGCCACCTGGGCTGCCAACAGAAGCTCATGACCACCTCATGATGGCACCATCCACAGGCATGGAGCCACACGGCCCCTGGGCAGAACCTCACCATGCCCTGTGCTCCAGATGCTGGACACAGAACTGCAGGACCTGTTGCCCAGCTGGATTCTAGTCTTGCTTGGGTCCCGTCCCTTCTTTCTGTGCCCCTGTGTTTCTGAATGGAAATGTTTAGCCGGTACCTTTATATACTGGATCCTTGTAAATCACTTTTGACTTGACAAGAGCTCGTGATGTGAGCGTGCCCTGAGTCTCAGAGGAGACTCTGGACTTGGACTTTGGGCACTCCTCTTGGAAATGGACCAAAGGTACTCTGCATTGTGAGGGTCATGAGCTTCTGGGGGCAGGGGAGGAATGTTATGGTTTGGATGTGACGTGTCCCCCAAAACTTATGTGTGAGACAACACAAGAAGGTTTAGAGAAAAAATGATCGGGTTGTGAGACCCTTCACCCAATCAGTGGGTTATTTCCTGATGGTATTAACTGAGTGGAAACTGCGGGCGGTGGGGTGTGGCTGGACGGGGAGGAACTGGGGTGCCCTTGGGGTATGTATTTTGTATCTGGAGAGTCTATAGTTTCCTGATCCACACGCAGGCTGCTTCCCTCCACCACACAATTCCACCACGGTGTTCTGCCTCACCTCAGCCTGAGGAATGGAGCCCAGTCTGTGGACTGAATTGTGAGCCCCCAAATAAACTTTTCTTCCTCTACAACTGTTCTGGCCAGGTCTTTTAGCCACAGCAGTGAAAAAGCCGACTAAAACACCAGGTGTCCAGAATGGTGGACAAAGACGCACAGACACACAACAGAATGCTGTTCAGCCTTGACGGAAAGGGAAACCCTGCCCTTTGGGACAGCACGGATGGAACTAGATGTCACTATGTTAAATGAAGTAAACCAGGCACAGAGAGACAAGCCCACAGACCACACCCTCAGGTGACCTTGCAGCAGTTACAGAGAACAGTTTTGCCAGGAACTGGGGTAAAATGGTGAGATTTTGGTCAAAGGACACAGAACCTCAGACAGGAGGCATCAATTCTGGAGGTCTGTCACCCAGCGTGGGACCATAGTGGATAATGTATTATGTACTACAGAGTTGCCAAGGGGATAGATCTTGAATGCTGAGCAGGTGAGGTGGTGGACATGGGAACTGGGCTTCGTGCCAGAACAAGAGAAGGCAAAAATCCTCCCAATCCTGATTTTCGGGGGGCCCATGGTTGGTGATGCTGTATGAAGGAATGCAACAGCCCTGCCCACACCTTGGCATTAGACCTGGAAGACCTCCAAAACTGTAAGATCACACCTGTATGTTGTTTAAAGTGTGTGGCTTTGTTGTAGTAGCAAAACAAAACTAATACATACTCCTGTGCTGCAGACTCACCTCAGCCTCAGTGTTTCCTGTCCCCAGAGCCCTGAAGACACAAGTTTTCTAAATTCACCAAGAGGCAACAGACCAATATGCTCCTCCTTAACATGGAACACCCTGGAGGTCTAGAGAAACACACACTGCCCGGAATGATAGTGAAAGTCATGACCCATGACACAAAGCCCTTACCTGGGCCAGCCCGATCTAGGCACCTGTCACATGTCCTCTCATTTCACCTTCAAAACAACCTTTTAATTGCCTCCATGTACTCACAGGGGAAGTGGGACACTTGAATGAGTGGCCCAGGCGAGACAGGTCCTGAGTGGTGGGGGATGGCTCTCCATATTTTATTGAGTAAGGAAAAAAAAAACATAGTGCAGAATATAATGCATATTAGAGTTCCGTTTATATAAAAACTACATATACAGTGTCTATACATATGCAAGTAGTATATGTATAATTCAAAACTCTTTGTATCTCTATATATAAATATGGAAACTCTAGAAAGTCAAATTCCAAATTATCACTTTTAATTTTAGACACTTCCACGTTGTTTCGATGAGCAAGTACGAATGCTGAGACCGAGATCTACAGAAAGCACTGCAACACTCTGAGACACTCACACACCTGGAGGGCACCTGGGGACCCATCAGGGCTCCTCCTTGAGGGCACCACCCAGGGGAAGAAAACGCCTCTCTGCAACTCCAGAGGGCAACGCCACAAATACCAGGAGCCCAACAGATGTCCCTGCCCGAGTGGAGCGTGGCACCATCCCCCACAGTGACATGCCCCAGGGATCCCGCCCAGCCCTCTCCACACTCCTCCTGTCCCTCCACAGCACATCCACGGCCAGGCAGCAGAAACTGGTGTGGTGAAGTCCATGGGGGTGACGTGGGAAACTGCTCAGGACCTCAGGTTAGGTGAGGAAAGCAAGACAGGACACGTGAACGTGCTTGGATTTCGATTCTGCGTGGTCACCATGGGGGTCACAGCAACCACAGGGAGGGACAACGCCCTCTGGACAGAAGGTCACATGGCATCACAGAAGGACACGAGGGGTCTCACACACAGAAAGTGCAAATAGTGACGAAAGAGTGTGCGGAAGACCTCAGCAGCCGTGCCCTGCAGCCACCAGCAGCAGGGACTCCGCAGACACGCAGGCAGACACCCAGGCAGACACGCGGGGCCAGGGGAGTGTGGGTGGGCACACTGTGCAGGTGGTCCACCTGGCCAGAAGGGTCACGATCTCAAAGGTGACAAAACTTTTGACTTTGTGATTTCCACTTCTAAGAATCCAAGAAAATAATTACAAATTCAAATACATGCTAAGAAATGAAGACGTCCACCGTAACACAATCCATAATAAACCCAAGGGAAACTAAAGGGCCAATCTAAAGAAAGTAGCTAAGCAAAGTAGTCACTGTGTTCCACATGAGGGTCATTAGAAAGTCGCTGATGCAGAGCAACTCTGCTCCTAAGACCCCACGTGAGAAGAAGAGAGAGACCCTAAGACCAAGGCTGGAGCAGGCAAGGAACGCTGGGAAGCTGCGGGGCCAGGAAGGAGGAGCCCCACCTGGGACACCCGGAGGAGGCAGAGAGTGCACACGCCGCTTTCCTCCTCCTGACTTCCCCATGGCCGATGTGCTGAGTGACCGTGCCTTCACGAGAACACACGGCACACCCCTCCACACTCCTCGAAGCCCCTCCACCCGGGCTGCCCCCTCCAGGCTGGGCTCTCCTCCGCCTGCTCCTCACTTCCTGTCTGTGCAACTGCCTCCCCTCCATACCGTGTCAGAGTGCAACCCCACGGAGGGAGTCACGGGGGACACACACGCCTCGCAGAGCTCAGGGGCTCTCAGAAGAGCCAGACAGAAAACCAACATCCCCCATTCCAACAGCAAAAAACATGCCCCCAGGAGACCCAGGGACCCGCTTTGGAGGAAGGCAGCAGTTCTGATGGAGGTGTGTGGAGGTGACTGCGGAGCTCGGGCAGGAAGGAGGGGAGCATGTTACAGGCAGAGAGAAGGACACTCCTCGCAGGGGAACAGCTCGAGCAAAGGCCCAGCAGTGCCTGGTCGTAGTGCAGGGGTGGCACCCAGGATGGGTCATGGCTCTTGCCTGCCAAGCCACAGAAACTGGGCCTGGGGACAGCCTGCCCACTGTCCCGGCGGCAGCGTGCAGTTCATGACGGGAGTCACAGCAGATGTGGAGAAAGGGTTTTTGCTCCACGTTTCCCCTGGATCCACCAAGAAACCAGGGATTCCAGAGCCCCGTTCTGGGGCTTTAACTGACCTTTGTCCTGAACCAGCACCTCCAGCTCCTCCCGAATACCATCGTACCAGCTTGTGATGTCCACATGGAGGGAGTAGTCACAGCAGGACTTGGTGTCGGCCGCTTCATGCCACTTCTCAAAGGAAGTCAGCAGGCTAGACCCGGGTTCAGGAACAACATGGTCAACTGGGACAGAGAAAAGTATGTCATGACGCTTAGGACCCACATTCTCCCATCTGCATCACCTCCATCACCACCCCACACCCCATCAGCATCACCCCACCACTGTTACCAAGACTACCACCACCTCCATCACCCCATCAACCCATCAGCATCACCTCACCACTGTTACCATGACCACCATCACCTCCATCACCCCCACCACCCCGTCAGCATCACCTCACCATGTTACCATGACTACCACCACCTCCATCACCCCATCAACCCATCAGCATCACCTCACCACTGTTACCATGACCACCACCACCTCCATCACCCCATCAACCCATCAGCATCACCTCACCACTGTTACCATGACCACCATCACCTCCATCACCCCATCAACCCATCTGCATCACCTCACCACTGTTACCATGACCACCATCACCTCCATCACCCCATCAACCCATCTGCATCACCTCACCATGTTACCATGACCACCATCACCTCCATCACCCCGACCACCCCGTCAGCATCACCTCACCATGTTACCATGACCGCCATCACCTCCATCACCCCCACTACCCCATCAGCATCACCCCACCACTGTTACCATGACCGCCATCACCTCCATCACCCCCACCACCCCATCAGCATCACCTCACCACTGTTACCATGACCACCATCACCTCCATCACCCCCCACCACCCCATCAGCATCACCCCACCACTGTTACCATAACTACCATCACCTCCATCACCCCCACCCCTCATCAGCATCACCTCACCATGTTACCATGACCACCATCACCTCCATCACCCCCACCACCCCATCAACATCACCCCACCACTGTTAACATAACCACCATCACCCCCATCACCCCACCACCCCCGCAGCATCACCCCACCACTGTTACCATGACCACCATCACCTCCATCACCCCCCATCATCCCCATCAATGCCACCCCATCTCCATGATTATCATCCCATCCTCATTATGGTCAGTGCTGTCACTGTCACCATCATTGCACAACCTTCACCAACGGCATCTTCACCCCCACCTTTAGGCTGCACCACCATCGTGACCACCACCGCCATCACCACCATCCATCCAATGCTCACTACATGCACGGCAGCAGCACAAAGGATTTATGAACACCTTGCTTAAGCCTCACAGTCATCCTAAGGAGTGAAGGGTAACAACCCCATTTGGGCCAGGTGCAGTGGCTCATGAAACTCAGGAGGCTGAGGCAGGAGAATTGCAAGTTCAAGACCAGCCTCGGCTACTTAGCAAGATCCTAGGCAACTTAGCAAGACCCTGTCTCAAAATAAGAAAATATAAAATAGGATGTGGCTCAGTGGTAAAGCACCCTGGGTTCAATCCCCAGAAGGAAGGAAGGGAGGAAGGAAAAACTGAGGCTCAAAGGGGGCCAAGGGCTTATCCAAGGTCCCATAACTGGCCAGAGGTAGGAGGAGCCTCTCGGAGACCTGACAGACTTCTGATCTCTCCACTCAGCAGCCTTGGCCCAGAACGTCAAGGTCAAAGGTCTCTAAGGGCAAAGGAAAGGCAACCTTGTCCCTCTTTTTCAAATAACATCTAAAACGTAAAGTAGCTCAAAAAGGCATGTCTTCAACCTCGGCTGACCTCCCCTGCCGCTCTGGCTACCGCCTGCTTCTCTCTACACACAGCCGGCCCCTCGCCCGGCCGGACGTCATGAAGATGGCCACAGACAGCAGCCTCTGCTCCCTCCTGCCTCCCTCCCGTCGGAGGCATCAGCTGCTGGTTGGGCCTTGGCGACCCAGGCCTGAGGGAACCCGAGCCTCTCTGTCCTCGGGTCACGGAGCACCGCCCCTTCTCCTCACCTCACTCTCCTCTGTCCCCATGCTGGCACAACCTCTGCTCTTCCTGGCCTCTCCTCTGCGTCTCTGGGTTTCTTCCCCGTCTCCTCAGACCCGCCCTCTGCTCGCGCCTTAGTGATCACACCCCAGGCTGGTCCCAGAACCTCTCCACACACCCCTCACGCAAACTCCACTTCCTCGGAGCTGTGGAACTCTGTGCCCGCTGTGCCCTGGCCACCCACAGGGTGACTCAAAACCAAAGTGCCCCAGACCTCCTGCAGTGCCGCCCACCCGACCCCGGCTGTGGGCGACACAGGGATGTAGCATCTCACGGTCCTTCGACCACAGGGTGAGGGCTCGTCCCGCCACCTCCCTCCCTCCCATCCCCATGTCCACCCCATGATGATACTGCTGACGCTGCCCATGTGCCCCTGGACCAGCCCACTGCCGTCCACCACCTCGGCCAAGCCACCCTTGTGTATCGGCAAACTGCTGTGGGCACTTCCTGGCCAATCTGATCACACCACTACCTGCGGGATCCTTCCAAAGCTGCAGAGGAAACCGCACAAAATTCTCCCATGAGGCTCAGCACTGTCCCCATCCCTCCTCAGGGTCTTCCTTGCAGTTCTGTCCCTCCATCTCTGCGGGGTGCAGAGGGCCTTCCCTCATCTCCACTGTGAGAGCTGTGCCCCCCAGGACTCTGTGCGCCCTTCCTCCTCCCAGCGATCTGCTCCCCTCCCACCCCCCCATCGACTCCGCCATCTTCAGACCCCGGCCGGGATGTGGCTTCTTCAGGGCAGCCGTCTCGGAGCCCCAGCCCTGTTCAGGTTTTGTCCCTTTTTTTCGCAGCGTAGTCACCATTAACAGTCCCATGTGGCTGAGCAGGGGTTCCTGACAGGGCCAGCCCCTGGAGGACAAGCCTCAGTCCTGCAGCTGTCCATCCGCCCCACAGCCTGGCCTTCTGCACCTCCCATGAGCATCTGCTGAAGAAACAGGGTGGGGCTGGGGGCCCGCCCATCCCCTATGGCCCTCTGTGTCCTCACGGCCCTTGGGCACACTCGAGGCCCTTGAAGCACAAAGCAAACTGCCTTCGAGGGTGTCGGGGGAGGACCCCAGATTCAGGGCTCCCCCAGGATGTCATAGTGGGTGATGGGGGAAGAGCAAGGGGGACCCCAGGGATCCTGGCCCCTAGCCCAGGGCTCTGCACTATACTACAGGATCTCACCTATGTCTCCCCAATACCCTTAGGGGTTCAATCATGAGGCCCATGCTGCAGACCAGGCTGAGGACAGGCCTCGCTCCTATAGCAGGGGGGGCAACAAGTCCAAGTCTGTCCAGGGCCAAGGCCTGGCTCCTCCCACTGTCCCCCAGCAGGTGCAAGTGCCACCTGTTGGAAAGGGATCAGGACTTTGCTTGTCTGTGCCCTGAGCCAGCCCTCCTCTGTGGCTAGTGCAGCCATGGAGGGTGCTGCCAAGGGTCACCTGGGAGAGAGGAGACGGCAGGGTCCAGCCAGTTCAGGACAGCTGGGGCAATCGCACAGCGTGACAGTTAAAGAACACATATAATCCACTGCCGCCTGCTTAGTCATTTCCCAAGGTGGGACCCCAGCAGAGGCAGCTTCTCAAGCAAAACAGAACAAAACCAGGCTGCCAGGGAGACAGAGGAGGAGGCCGGCTCCCCACACAGGCCACGGAGGCCGGGTGGTACCATCTGTCCGTGAGTCTCCACGCCCACCGTGGTTCACTGAGGGCAGAGGGTACTCCCAGTGACTGGGCTTGGCCACGTGGCTCACACCAGTCACAGAACATGGGCGGACACTGGGGTGTGAGCAGAGACGAGGTGGCAGGAGGGAGGCAAGTCTCTGCCAGACCCTCGTGCACATCACCGACGGCCACGGGAAGGGTGCTGCTCAAGACTCAGGGCTGCTGTGGTTTGGAGATGGCCTGCCTATGTCCCCAAGGGTCTGTGTGTTGGAAGCTCGAATCTCAGGGTGACCATGTTGGGAAGTGGCAGGACCTCTAAGAGGTGGGGACTGCTGGAAGGTGATTAGGCCACTGGAGGCACATGATCAGAAGGAATCGATGCTAGTCATTGCGACTCAACCAGGGGGACCCTCACCAGAGACTGAATCAAGTGTCTCATCCAATCTCAGATTTTCAGCCTCCCACACTGTGAGCTACATAAGCCTCTTTTCTTTATAAAGTACCTACCCGGGGTATCTTGCTATGGCAATGGAAAACATTTAATAGGCAGACTGTTACGCAGCACTATCACAGCATTATTTACAGCAATACTGACTGACACGCCCTCTTCCTAGCTATGTAAACTGGGGCGAATTACCTCAACTCTCCGAGCCTCCATCCTCCATCATTATAACACCCATGTCACGGTTTCCAAAACTCTGGCCATCCTCACACTTCGGGATATCATTCTTTATGTGATACCTTTAAATCTGTTTATCTTCTAAGCATCTAAACACCAATTTCAATCTCAGTCTAGGCAATGATAATAACCAGGATGCACCAGTAATTTTATTTCAATACATTCCAAAATGGGTTCTGAAAGTTTTACTGTCTGTATTGCTTTGTAGACACTGAGCTGCGTTGGGGGACCACAGTGAGAAGGAGATGAAATGGCCCTGAGCTCAGTGACTGGTCTGCACTGGGCCCCAGGGTGCTGCTGCCCATGGTGATGGAGAACCCCCAGCCGCCCTTGGGGGACAGGGCCTGCAACTCACTGATCATAGTGGTCCCGCCCACCAGCGCTGCTCTGGTGCCCTGGAAGAAGTCATCGGCCGCCGTCATCCCCTGGCAGGGCTTCTGCAGATAGGTGTTGACATCGATCCCTCCAGGAATGACCATCCGCCCATTGGCCTCGATGGTCTTCACTCCACCAGGAACAATCAGGTTCTCTCCTATTTGCCTGGAGACAAACAACAGAGGGGACCTTGGTTCTTAAAAGCAAACTGGGCAGTCAGCTTAGTAGCTTCAGGCCCACTAAGTACACACACCTGAGCCAGGTCACCCAGGGCCGCAGGTGGGTGGAGGGCACTCAGGCAGGGCCTGCCCTCCAGGGGCACCCACTCGAATGTAAGCACCTTGTTGGAACGCGGCAGGGCAGAGGGCCGGGGGCACAGGGAGCTGTTTCACCTGGCTGGTTCTCCAGGAAGGCTTCTCAGGGGGACGGAGGACTGGGTCCAACCAGGCAGAGCCAGCCTCTCCATCACGGGATGCTGGGCTGTCTGAACAGCCAGTCTCTCAGGGGAGTGGTCGGCTTTGGGCAATGGGGAGAGTGGAGCAGAGTGGAGCATCACCTAGCAAGACTGTGAAAAGTCCCCTTGGCTTTATGAGCTTTCAGGGACACTGATGGGGGCCGAGTTGCATCCCCCGAATCCACAGGAAGCCCCAGCCCCAGCAACTCAGAGAGTGGCTGACTGTACTTGGAGACAGGACCCTTGCAGAGGTGACTAAGTAAAATGAGGTCATTGGGGTGAGCCCTAATCCGATCCATCTGGTGTCCCTAGGAGATCAGGACACAGACACACACAGAGGACTGCCTAAGGACCCAGGGAGACATGCCATTTGCAGGCCAAGGAGAGCCCTCAGGAGGAGCCAGCCCTGCCAACACCTGGACTCGCAGCCTCTCAATTATTTGTGAGAAATAGATTCCTGTTGTTAAAGCCGCCCGTCCGGGGCCTTTCACGGTAGCCTGAGCAGCCAAGCACATGGCCCCTGGCTTCTCATTTCAGCAGAACTGGAGGAGCAAGGGCCTCAGGAAAGCTACTCAAGCCCTCTGGGCATGTAAGACAAAACTGAGGTCACCTTAAACACCACAGTGAGGGACTATGGCGGGTGAGGCCAGTGTTTCCAGGCAGGCTGAGGTCACTTCTCTTCCCTGCTGTGAAACTTCCTGCAGGAGGAAGGTCCCAGACAATCCACGGCCTGGCCCCCCGTGAGCCCCGCAAAAGCCCCGCGGAGACTTACATGACACCCAGTGATGCCTGTTCTATTTGTTGGAACCAGAGAAAGGAGATGCCAGGGCACCAGCAGATTCTGAGCCAGAACCAGGCCAGGGACCCCAGGGCTTCCAAGGCTACCAACTGGCTGAGATCTGAGATCTGAATTTTTGTTTGCAAAAATAAAATCCAGGTATTCTGAACTCTTGGGATCAGGCCATCACATAAAAACACCAGTCATCAGGCTTAAGAAAATACTGCTGCAGTGACCAAAGGATCAAGCCCAGAACAGAATTCACCTCCTGGGCAAAAGCAGCAGCCCTGGCCCTACAGGAGCCTGGGCAAGGCTGGTCCGGGCTGGCGGGGCAGAGAGAGGGCTCCAGCCACGGCTCCTTGCAGAGCTGGGCACATCCTGGTCTCCCTGAGCTGGAAAGAACCCAGCAAAGCATAAAGCCAGGCTTAAGGGGAGCACCCAGGAAACTGTCCCACCAGCTCCACCGCAGGTGCCACCGCCCCCAACTACCAACCCTCCCCTGCACAGCTGGCTTGAGTGCATGGAAACTCTGGGTCCTTCTGCCACCCTCTCCAAACACGTGGGCTGGTGCCAGGAGCCGAAGGAAAGGGCCTCTGGAGGACACTGACCCTAACAGAGAGCAGCTGCCCTTCCTGGAGGCCTGCTGGGGAGTGGAGACTCCTCTAAGCACTCACCCATGATGTCACCTGGGCTCCCAGCTAACTTCTAAAGAAGACAGGTAATGTACCCAATGCTAACTGCAAAGGTGCGGGGCCACTCAGTAAGTCAGCAGGGGCAGCAGACCTGAGGCTCAGTCCTACACGCCACTGCCCCAGAGACAGCCCGGTGTGAATGGCGCCTGTGACTCGGTCACCACGCCAGGGTCCCGGTGAGGGGCCCTGTCGTACCTCCACCAACCTCTCCAGTCTCCCACCAACATCCCCACAAGGGAGGAGGTCCACTGGGCCAAAGGGGGCGCAGAGCTGAGACAGGCACCTAGATTGGTCCAAGGTCACACAGCAAGTCCAGGTGGGCCTGGGAGGCCCCAAGTCTAAGAACAGGACCTGCCCCGGCTGACTGCCTCCCCGACACAGGAGCAGCACATTCCCCTCAGACGGGGACTGAACTGATGGGGACCCCGTGAGTCAGGAGGAAGACGCAGTCAATGGCACACACCAGCAACAAGTCCGGAAAAGGAGGACAGAGGAAGCTCAGCTCGCCTCAGATGTGCCACCGCTGTGGCAGGAGGAAACCCTGCGTGACCAGCATCTGAATCACCATGCTCGGTGAACCAGGCAGAATCCTCCATGAATCACAGCTCACTGCACCCTAATAGCTGAATGGCTCTTAGAAAACTCCGCCAAGGGTCTCAAACAGAAGGACTCTTGGTGTTTACTAAAGTAAACAAAAACTGAGCCTCTGTATGCCTGGGTCAGCACAGGCCACTCCAGCCCTACTCTTCTCAGCCAGTAGGCTGCATGCTAGAAAGGACCCCCTGAGTCCTGCAAGGCACTCAGTCATGGTCACCCTCTCTGCTTCACAGAGCAGGAAGAGGAATACCAAAGCTCAGAGAGGCCTTTAGCACTGGGGTGCAAGCAAAATAGGGTTCTGAGTCAGAGGACTGGACAGATACTGAATTTACAGAACTGTCTGTTTCCCAAACAGCCTGGCCAGCCAAAGTCCTAAGGCTCCAGGTGCTCCTGCATACAGCAAGCACTCAAGAAACGCAGCTCAGCCCATGACCACTGGGCTCCACAGGTCCCCAAAAGGACGGAAGCACAAGTGACCAGCTCTAAGCTCAAGCAGCAGGTGGCCAGAATGGCTACCCCATCAGCAGCTCCCTGGTGACTTTGCCCTCAGGCCTTGAAGCCCTGGAGGCCAAGGGGCCCCAGCCCGGGCGGCTTCCTCTGATCTAAGCAGCAGTGCAGAAGAAGACCTCCTGCTCTGGACTTACCCAACCACACTGCATGGGTGCTCTGGGGCTCCAAACAACCCTCACCTTGACCTGGGGGTCCAGATTCACTTCGCTTTTCCTCGTCAGCACTCTGGGGCACCTACTATGGACCAGGCCATGCTCCAGAGTGGGGAGGCCTTGCTGCCCTGGCCAAGGGACAGACACCACGTGAGGGAGGCTGTGACAGATGGCAGCTCATGGCCACAGGGAAGGTGGAATGCAGCCAGGCCATCCCCGGGCAGGGAAGTGCCCTGAGGAGACATCACGTGGAGCTGGCAATGCAGGGACAGGCGTTCCACGGAGGGGCTGGGGTGCACAGCTTCCAAGTGGGAGTGAGCTAGCCGTGCACACAAGAGTGAGCTGGGGGCGGGGAGATGGCAGGGAGGAGGCCGCTGTCCAGAACTAGAGCAGGGGATGGGGAGGCAGAGACTCTGAACTTTCAGGGGGCACGATGCACCCACTAACCCCGGCTTCCTTTACCCCCACCCCCATCACAGCATGTGCCCCCCTCCCCGGCAGGCTGGCTTGTTACCAAGTCTGCATCCTGTCTGACCTCCCCGTGCCCCCAGCCCCCTGCACTCTCCTTCCTGCACCAACAGCCCAAGCCGGTCGCAGACAGTCTCCTCCTCTGCTCTTCTAGATGCCCAGGGAAGAGGCCGTGAGTCCAGGCCACGTCCCCATCACCAGCCAGTAAAATGCTGGAGGCCACGGAGAAACCACTGCCTGGCGTTATGGGCGGAACTGTCCCCAAACCACGCCAAAGCCCCAACACCCCCCACCCACCCCCTGTGACTTTTGGAGATGAGGCTTCAAGGAGATAATTAAGCCTAAATGGGTCATCAAGGTGCATCCCTAACCCAACAGAACCAGTATCCTGATAAGGAGGGAGACGCCTGGGCAGCACAAAGAAAGGCCATCTGAGGACAGTGAGAAGGAGGCCCCAGGCCAGCAGGGAGTGAGGCCCAGGAGGGACCATCCCTGCGGGCACTGACCAGGGCTTCCAGGCTCCACACTGTGAGTTCCTGTTGTTGAAGTCACCCGGCCTGCATCACTGAGTTACAGTGTCCCAGGGGGCTCCTACCCTGGGGTCAGCAATGGCAGGCTGAAAGGGAGCCCACAGGGAGACAGTAGGGAAACGGCAGAGCCAGGACTCTTCTGAGAGCCAGCCAAGGTCCCTATGGAGGCCCACTTCTCCCCTGATCCCCTCAACGAACCCCAGGAATGGCAGGCAGGTGGAAGGCAGGGCTGTGCTCAGCCAGGGGCTCTTGGGGGGGACACAGGCCCTGTCCCCAGCCCACCCTGCAACTGGGCTCAGTGCTTAGCCCCACTGGCCCCTCATGCCCCTAATATAAAACACTACACCTGGGCTGGGGTTGGGGCTCAGCGGTAGAGCGCTCGCCTAGCATGTGTGAGGCCCTGGGTTCGATCCTCAGCACCACATATAAATAAATAAATAAAGGCATTGTGTCCAACTATAACAACAAAAAAAATCTTTAAAAATATCCCCAAAACACTACATCTGCATTTCACAGCCTGAGTGTGAGCATTAAAGGCAATAGGCACCCTGAGGAGTATCAGCAAGCCTGGGACAACGGAGGGTCACCCAGCACACCCGGCCCCTGCTCTAGCTCACCCCGGCCCCTGCTCCACCCAGTCTGACGTCCCCAGTCTGGAGCTCTGAAATACAGGAGCACAGCACGGCCACTCTGGCAGAACACCAGCAAGGCCAGGCCACCTGGAGGAACAGATTCTTAGGTGTGTCCTGCTCAACCCACTTTATGAGCCCGTCTTCCAAGTAGACATCGGCATAAAAGGACTGGTCCTCGTTGACGATCCGTCCACCTTTGATGAGGAGTCGGTCACTCTGAAAAGCAAAGCAGAGTTTTAAGTGTCACTGGGGGAAAGTCAGGGGAATGGTTTTCTTTCAACTTTTAACAATAAAACTCTCAAATATCTTCAAAGGTAAAGAAAGGGCACTGAAACCCCCCCAAACCCCCCCACTTCAACCCTCCTCCACCAATGCTCCATCTTCTCACCCCACCTCCTTCCCTCCTCAATGCTTTGCATTTTCCCCAGAAGTATTTCAAAACAAAACCCAAACATGGGATTTCTCCTTTAGATACTTCAGTACCTTCTCCAACCAGGAAGGGCCTCCTAAGGAGCCCTCACCACAGCCCACTACTCCAGCTAACCCCATCCACCTCCTCCTTCATCTCCGCCCAGGACACACCACATGCGGTTTTACTGGATTGTCTCAGAAATGTCTGTGTCACTGGGATGCACACCAAGTCCCCACGGTGCACTTGCCCTGTGGGTCTCTGCTGTCTCCTCCCTTCTAAATGTCATTCACTAGTTGAAGACACAGCGTCATTTATAGATCAGGAACTTCTTAAGGCATTTCTGAATATGACGGTGATCAACTCAGAGACACTGTGCAGATAATGAAAAGACTGTGCAACGAACCCTGCCCCTCCTGCACATGCACCAGGTCACTCGGACGCTTGTCTTCTTTGTCCTCCTGTCTGTTCCAAAGCCGTGACTCTAGGACACACATACACACACTCATCCAGGCAGTGATCACTCCTGGCCCAGGCCCTGGGAGCCACGGGAAACCAGGCAGAGTTGGGATCTGCTCCCTGAGCCCGGCCGATGAGAGTCATGGGATAGAAGGTGGCCCAGGAGGGGAAGGGCAGGAACAGAGTGAGGGGCCGTCATGCTTACCTGGGGGTGCAGGTAGGGCAAGCTAAAACCTACTAAATAAGACCGGCTGAACCAAACAAAGGGCTGAAAAGGGGGGCGGCCAGGAATGTCGAGTGACCTGCCAGGCCAGAGGCAGAGAGTCCAAGAACAGAAAAGAACAGAGCTCCATCCTTTTGGATTTTTACCATAAGCACATCCCAAGTTAGGGCATGGTCTTCATTACCACAATTTTTAGAAGTCTGCCAAACACCACATCGCATGGCTACGTGATAAGTTAGTTATGGCCCCACTGTTTGGCCCTTCAGTTATTTTCTGTTTTCCACAGCGAGGCAGTCAGCTGCACCAAACCTCCTTGTGCACAACTTTTCCGTGGTTAGGATGCTGTATCAGGCCAAATTCTCAGAAGCTTAACAACTGAGTCCAACAGCACAAACCTTATTTACGGCCCCTGATAAATGTGACTGAACTGCTTCCCCAAGAGTACTGCCCAATTTGCCAGGTATGGGAACACCAAGTGCCTTTGCCTATCATTAATATTTGTTAATTTCCATTTTTTTTGGAGCTTAAATTTTTCCAGTGTGGTTATTTTCTATTTTCATTATCTTCAAGTTGCTCTCAAGGCCCCCATCCCTTGTGTGGGGAGAGAGCCAGTAAATGTTAAGAATTCAGTGCAACCACTTCTGCCGGGAATGAGAGGTTCCCCCCACCACCCGAAGCAGAGCTTGCCACAAAAACATGATAAAGGGACAACCGGGCTCAAGTCCACCAGGACCCCTCAGGAAGCTGAGAAAATGCACTACAGAGGGTCCCAGAGGCCACGGTCCAGTGGTCCCAATGGTCCCCTGGCATCTACCGTGAGAGGCAGGCAGAGATGCTCTGCCCAGAAGAGGTCAAGCCAGACTAAGCAACGGGGAAACTTTCTGAGAAGAAACAGTCTGCAGCCAGAACTCCCAGGTGGGTTCTGGTCTCAGTGTTATATTTTCCTCAGTGTGAAAGCCAAGGTCAGCAAGACCCCAGTTAGTCTGCCCTCCCACTATCTATTCCGGCATGGCTCTGCTCAGGGTCACTCATCTGAGAGCCCTCCCCTCGCCTGCCCACCAGCTGCCCTGCCCCTCACCCCTCGTGTTTGCACAGCACTCATCACAGTAATCTGACATACTACATATGTACCTGTCTGGCTACCATGTGGCTCTTTCCACTGGATTCCAAGCTGTGATGTGCCACCGGGGGATGTGCAAGGCACAACCACACAAGGGACCAAGCATGGGTTGGCACCACCTAGAGTTCTCTTCTCCCTACAGATGCTCTCACTAGACTTAGCTCCATGAGGGAAGGGACTCTTGCTTCTTCACCGCTACACCTTCAAGACCTTGGACCCGCTTGGCCAGATGGGTGGGTGGATGGGTGGATGGATGGACAGATGATGACGGATGGACAGATGGTGGACAAATGGACAGATGGATGGATGGAAACATTGAAGGATGGATAGATGGATAGATTATAGGCAGGATGGATGAATGGGTAGATGGCAGGCAGGATGGCAGGATGGATGGATGGATACCTAAACTGGTTCTTGGAAAACGAATGGGTGGAGATGAAGAGAAAAGGCCTCAGAGCCACAAGTCAAGGAAGAGAGTGTGAAATGGCGTGTCCTGCTTCCTGGAGAAAGGGGATTCCAGAGCATTCACTCCAAGCCCAACAACCTGTCCTGAATCCCTAACATGGAGCCAGCCATGATTTGTGCATCTGCAAGGAAGAGACCCACCAAGCACCCTGGAGGCTACTCCAGGACCAAGGGAAAGCAAAGGCCTGGCTCTGCATGCCCGGAAAGCACAGGCAAGCTGGCGGCCAAGCTTCCTGGCACAGAAAGCAGGAAAACACAAGTCCTTAGCTGTCGGAGCAAGGTTTCAAACCCGGCTTCTGCAGGCAGCACCTCCCTTGTCACACTTAATTACGGGCTTCCCAGGCTCAGCCTGAAAGGGGTGTTTGACTCACTGCACGCCAGTGATCTGCCCAGCCTGCTCTGCACTCCTGAGTCAGGCAGTGGAGTTGGGTCCAAACCCTCCCCTGTTGCACTACCCCCAAATACTGCACGCTGGGACCACAGGGGTCCAAACTCCAGCATCTCTCCAGTGCCAGTACACTTCTGAAAAATCCATAATAAGGCAAGAACTGACCTGACATCCTCACTTTCTTTCTTCGAATCAGTCATTCCTTTGCCTTTTAATAGCATTTTCATAGACACGTCCTGTAGAACTCAAAGGCGTTTTGGTAGGTACTACCCCTGAAAGGGGTCTCCAACGCAGCGAGTTTAGAATATTCTATTCTGGACACAAGGAGGAACCACCCTCCCACAGCTTCGCCCAGGGCCAGTGCTCTGCCCATGTGCAGGGAAAACTGGGAGCAGAACTGAGCACACAGCTTTTCCAAGCCCAGATCCTTCCATATTGTGGGAAATCTGTGGAATAACTCCCGGAGAAAGCACCCAATGGGTGGAGATGAAGAGAAAAGGCCTCAGAGCCACAAGTCAAGGAAGAGAGTGTGAAATGGTGTGTCCTGCTTCCTGGAGAAAGGGGATTCCAGAGCAGTCACTCCACGCCCAACAACCTGCCCTGAATCCCTAACAGGGAGCCAGTCATGATTTGTGCGTCTGCAAGGAAGACACTCACCAAGCACACCTTCTCTGTGGCTGCCTGCCCTGAACGGACTGTGTGGGGCACTGATCTGACCTCGATAGAAATGCAGTTCCAGACAGGTGTGGCCTCCAATGTCACGCTCCTGATGCAGTTTTCCTAACTCCCTGCCCGTGTGTAGGCCACCAAGCCACACTGCATCACATTTCTAGACATTTTCATGCTCTGGAATTTATGACACCCCACAAGCAGATGGAATGTAACTACACTCCAAGGTCAGACCCAGGGGCCTCCCGTTCTAAGGAATGTGTAAAATCTCAGGCTGCACACCAAACAGAGGGAATGTCACTACACACATATACCAAGATATTATAGATACATGATTTATATGTAAATATTTTTATTTTAAACATAAAATTCACACATTTGAAAATAAAAAAGGACTCATGCCCTCTGACCCGGAATCTAGTGCTGTCCATTTGTCCCCAGGAAAATAGCCCTAAACGAGTCCAGGATTTATATGCAAAGATCAGATCCAGACTCAGTTACAATGGTGTAACCACATCACTACCCCTCAGCTGGTCAATATTTTACAGAAGTTTCAAGGACAAAGACAATAAGATGTTATGTGAAAAACCAAACTGCAAAACTCTCCACTGGCAGAATTCAAGGGGAGTGGGTCTTTCTGGCAGGAACTGACACCTCCCCAGCAGGCCCTGGGGCCCCCACTGCGGTGTCCCTGGCAGGTCAACGTACACGCATCCCAACACTCCCCGCCCTGCATGAGCTGGGCACTGCATGAGGGGCCTGGAGACCCCTGTGACTTCACCTTACGTCTCCATCAACAGGCCAGGGACCCTCCTCAGAATGTCGCAGATCTTTGCTGAGCAGCTGGAGGAGGTGGCAGACAGGGGCCAGGGAAGAGAGAGGAGGAGATGGGACACTTGAAAAGAGAGGGAGTGAGAAGGAGGGTGAAAAAGGGTAATGAAGAGGTTAGAAAGGAAGGAGAGGATGGGGGGAAGGCAGGCAGACAGACCATACATCTCTCCTGAAATCCTGACCCGCTGCCTGGGCATGGACACATGCCAGGTACAACGCCTGCATGGCACAGGTGGTGCTGGAAGGACACCTTGCGAGGGTCACCTAAGCCCTGGCAATGGCCAGCAGTGGAGTCTCCTGCCAGTGTCTTGTGAGTTGGAGGACGGCCCAGCAAGGCGCAGGCTCATCTCCAGACCTGCCCTATCTCCCAGCAGCCCAATGGGGGAAGAGCAGCTGTGGGCAGGTGTCGTCGGTCACTTCACTACACGAACTGTTCTATCCAGCTCCGCTTAGGGACATCTGCCTCCAGGCCTCAGGCCTTCCTAACCAATCGACCAACAGCAAAACACACCACAGTCGGCCCCTGCTGGGGGCAGGGAGGTCTGGATCACAGGGAAGCCTCTGCATCGCTGTCCAGGCCAGCAAAGCTCTCAAGTGCCCTGGGCTCTGCTCTCCCTCCCACATGGTGGGAATGGAACCTGTCCCCTGCACA